GAGAGACCTAGCCCTACCAGATTGTAAAACATATTTAAAATGTCACAAAAACTAAAACACTTCATTATCAGAAAGAAGACACATAGATCAGAGGGCAGAAGTATACACTAAATACATGGCCCAGCACATATGTAAACTTAATTTATGATAAAAGCAGCACTTTATTTGTTTTATTTGTTGGGTTTTTTTTTTGGTACCAGGGATCAAACTCAGGACCTTGTGCTTGCAAGTCAGGCGCCGGAACCACTGAGCTAAATCTCCGGCCCTAAAAGCAACACTTTAAATCATCAAGAAAACCTGTAATATTAAAAATAAAAATAAAAATTCTATGCCACTCCTGCCTTGCAAGTGCAAGATCCTAAGTTCGATACCTGATACCGCAAAAAAAGGGCCGGGGATTTAGCTCCATGGTTCTGCTGCCTGCCTCACAAGCGCAAGATCCTGATTTCAATACCTGGTACCAAAAAAAAGAAAAAAAATCTAAAAAACACTAAGATTCCATATTACCCCAGAAAGAATGGCCATCATCAAGAAATCAAATAATAACAAATGCTGACAAGGCTGTAGGGAAAAAGAACCCTTGTACGTTGTTGGTGAGGGTATAAACTAGTACAACCACTAAGAAAATCAGTATGGAAATTCCTCAAAAAACTAAAAACAGAAATTTATTTCTACCCTGCTATCCGTCTTCTAGGTATCTTCCTGAAACAGTTAAAGACATCACATTACAGTGATACATATATACCCATGTTTATAGCAGCACAATTCATAATAGCTAAATCTTGGAATGTGTCTATCAATAGATGAATAAAGAAAATGTGGTATTACACACAATGGAATACTAGTCTGCATCAAGAATAAACTTGAGGTGACAGTGTAGCAATGGCATCTCCTCTGGAGTCATTGGTGGAGGATCTGGTAGAGGATCCACTTCAGATCTTTGTGAGAGTCTTTGAGAAATGGGAGACCACAGTGCTACAACTGCAGGCGTATGGCTCACACAGCTTGGGGTGTGCTTCATGGGAGTCTGCCATTTTCCTTTCCAAATACCTGAAAATGACTGTGTTTTGGAGTGATAGGATCCACTCACTAAGCCTGCGGTTGGTGCTGGAGCTGGGCTCAGGCACTGGGGCTGTAGGGGTCATGGCCACTCACTTGAGGCAGATGTTGTAGTCCTTAGTCTTGAGGAATTGCAAGACTTGCTGAAGATGGATATTAATATGAACAAACATCTCGCCACTGGTTCTGTTCAAGTCAATGGATCAGAAATAGAAGACTTTCCTTCTCCACCAGACTGATGGCTGACTGTATGTATCAGTTAGGGGTCACAAGAGGAATAGATTTAATATAAAATATTATATATTATTATAAATATATAAATATAATAATATATAATAATATATATTATATAATATATATGGATTACAATATATAATATATATTATATTATATATAATATATATATGTATTTACAAGGTAGGCTTACAATGGCTGCCTGCAGAGTCAAGTGTAGAAGAATGCAAAAGGGCCATCTGCACATTGGAGTTCTGAAAGATC